GTAGGTGGGGAGACTGCACCTGCTCCATCTGGAGAGCCCCAGTGAAATTGGTTTGATATGGGGCCCAGAGAGATCTCCAGTTCTGTGGTGTCTTCTAGGACTCACTGCTGTGTCTCTGACTTTTGATTTCTTTTGAGATTTTATTTATTGGTCTCTGAAGCAAGGTTAATAATAGAGTTCACAGGGTGGCACTGGAGTTGGTTCGTGGGGGTGACTACCAGTGCTTCCATGTGTATTGGGGACTGGGAAGAGGTAGTCAACTCCAACTCCGTGAAATCCTGGAGATTTCAGTCACAAAACCTGCATATTCAAATTTTCAGCAGATTGTATCTTGGTGAAGTTTGTCCTGAGATGGTGGAATCAGGCCGGGGGTATGGTGGTGATTTTGGATTGTGGAAGCAAGAGTCTTCTGGGGGTTCTGATTGGGCAGGCATAGGCCAATCTGCTCATCTCTGATTTACCCCAGTTTGTTTAGCCATTTGTGAATCTGAAATTATGTGTGGCTTTTGGTCTTTTTTGAAATTATCTATGGGTCTCTGAAATAAGGCCAATAAATGAGCTTGTATAGCTGAGCTGGAGGTGGTTTGTAGGCATGACTCCCATATACCTAACTTTCAGCCGTTTAATTTCTTTTTCTTTTTCTTTTTTATTTATTTATTTTTATTGAATCACTGTGAGATACAGTTATAAACTTTCATGTTTGAGTTACAATCATACAATGTTCAATCACCATCCCTCCACCAGTGCACATTCCTCACCACCAATCTTCCCCAGAAAACCCCCACTTTCCCACCTTCCTCCTGCCTCCCTGGCAGACAATTTCCTCCATACTCTCTCTCTCTACTTTTGGGCACTATGGTTTGCAATACAGAGAGACCATCACTTTTGGTCCTTTATCTACTTTCAGCACACATCTCCCATCCTGACCGATATCTCCAACCATCATTTTCTTAGTTATTCCTTTTCTATTCCAGCTGCCTTCTCTCCCAGCTCATGAGGCAGGCTTCCAACTATGGAACAATCTTCCTGGGCCTTGTATTTACTGTTCTTGGGTGTCGGTCTCGTGTTATATTATTTTATACTCCATAAATGAGTGCAGTCCTTCTATGTTTGTCCTTCTCTTTCTGACTCATTTCACTTAGCATGATACTCTCCATGTCTATCCACTTATAAGCAAATTTCATGACTTCATCTCTACTAACAGCTTCATAGTATTCCATTATTCCGCTGTGTAGATGTACCAAAGTTTCTTTAACCAGTCGTTAAAGAACTGTTCTCGGGCACTTGGGTTGTTTCCAGATTTTGGCTATTGTGAACAGTGCTGCAATGAACATAAAGGTACAAATGTCATTTCTACCGTGCTTTTTTATACCCTTGGATATATTCCCAGAAGTGGTATTGTGGGGTCACATGGAAGCTCAATTTCTAATTTTTTTCTTTTTGGGGGGTCACTCCCGGCAATGCACAGGGGTTACTCCTAGCTCTGCACTCAAGAAGTACTCCTGGTGGTACTCAGGGGACCATATGGGATGCTGGGATTCGAACCCGGGTTGGTCGCATGCAAGGCAAACACCTGGCCGCATGCAAGGCAAACACTGTGCTATCACTCCAGCCCCTCAATTTCTAGTTTTTGAAGGACTGTCCATATTGTTTTTCTGAAAGGCGGGACCAGTGGGAATTCCCACCAACAGTGGAAGAGCGTTCCTTTTCTTCCACATCCACACCAGCATTGGTTGCTTTTGTTCTTTTGAATGTGTGCCAGTCTCTGTGGTATGAGGTGATATTTCACTGTTGTTTTGATCTGCATCTCCCTGATGATTAACAATATGGAGCATTTTTTCATGTGCCTTTTTGGTCGTTTAATTTCTTGATAAACTTGGTCCCAAGTTGTTTGGGTCTGGCCAAGGGCACAGTGGCAATTTTGGGGTGTCAGGAGCCTGAAGACACCATCAGGCTGCTGATGCACTTGCCCCGCAGGTACAGATTGATCTGTTGGGGGCATCATACCCCCAAGGACCCTTCTGTCTTACTGGGGCATGGAACCCAGGCTTCCCATATCCAAGGTGAATTGAGTGCTTTCCTGCTGAAGGCATATTTCAGTTCTTTCCTTCCCTCTCTAACTACTTGGGAGGGAATTGATTTCTGGCAGCTCTGACCTGGGGTTTAATCTGGCACCGGGAACTCTGGAAACATGTGTCTGAGGCCAATTTTGAGCTATAGCAGTGAGGTATCCATTGACCACAGTGGAAGGACAGAGCATCCTCCAGCTACAGGGCCCTGGGGGTGTCTTAGGGGTGCACAGCCCACTGTCACAGCCATTTCCATAAGATCATGTACCTACACACTTCTCACACTCTCACACAATCTCAAAATATATTAGCACTGAAGTTGGCTTTCCTGCTCTGCTGAGTTCTTGAGAATTTTATGAAAGATTTGCATATAAAACTCAGTAGATAAAAAGTTAAGTGTTTATTGTGCAGATAGGGCATCTGCCTTGCACACAGCCAACATGGCCGACCCGAGTTCGATTCCTCCGCCCCTCTCGGAGATCCCGGCAAGCTACCGAGAATATCTCGCCCGCACGGCAGAGCCTGGCAAGCTCCCCGTGATGTATTCGATATGCCAGACACAGTAACAACAAAGTCTCCAATGGAGACGTTACTGGGCCCGCTCGAGCAAATCGATGATCAACGGGAGGGCCTTTACCTTTTTATTTAATATACAATAAATAAATTTAATTGTAGATGGGTCTAGGTCCCTCCCTAGATGTCCAGGTATCTCCTTTTGCCTGTGAAAAACATGACCAGTCCTGTCTCATGTTTCTACTCCCCTCCCGTGAATGACTGCCAGGTCTTGTCCCTGCGCTTTCTATCCCGTGTATGCTTTCCTCAAGTCTCCACCCATGGTCATATGCATGTGGGTGAGAATCCTGGGCTCAGTACCTTGTCACTACCGGGGTGTTTGAGCCCTGCCTGAACCTGAGCTTTCCTGGGAATCCATTCGAGCCCTGCCTGTATTCTGTCCCTGACTGGCCCTGAGTGGCCTGCCTGTACTGGACCCCGTGTCTGGGAATGCCTCTCTACCTGATCCTGGGGGTCCAGGAAGAGAGGAGAGAATTCAGAATGCATGTTCTCAGAGTGCATGAGAGAGAGAGAGAGAGAGAGAGAGAGAGAGTGTGTGTGTGTGTGTGAGAGAGAGAGAGAGAGAGAGAGTCATATACGCACATAGAGTTCACACACACATACACACACTGCACAATGCTATTTCCTTGCTATTTCTTCTGACTCTACGTCCTCTGGTTCCCTTCTCTGCTGGCTTCCTTTCATTCTGCACACATCTCACTCTCCTCCCTCCCCATTATAATCATAGAAAGCAGTCCCCTAGGGGAGGCCATCTGGATCAAGACTTTTTCTCACTAAGTTTGTCTGGGACTCATTAAGTCATTTTTAAGCAGGGCAGTACGTGGGGGGACTTTTAAGGATCTGGCTCCAGGCTTTGGTTCTGGGAAGGAGGGTCCCTCCTCCCCCGGGTCTCTGCCCTTCTGACCGATCGGCTCCAACAAGTCTCAGTGAAGCTTGGGAACGTCAAGTAAGATGGCATTCTCATTTGTCACAAGTGTTTACTCCCAAAATTTTCAGTTTATTTTTTATTTTAAGCACAGTTATACTTTTGTTTTGTTTTTAGGTCACGCCTGGCTGTGTTCAGGTGTTACTTCTGACTCTGCACTCAGATCACTCCTATTGGGTTTGGGAGACCATATGGTGTGGGTTGGCCATGTTCAAGGCAAGTGCTCTACTCCCTGTACTACTACTGCTCTGTCCCAAGCACAGTCATAATTTTTTTTTTCTTTTTGGGTCACCTGGCGATGCATAGGGGTTATTCCTGGCTCATGCACTCAGGAATTTCTCCTGGCGGTGCTTGGGGAACCATATGGGATGCTGGGAATCGAGCCCCGGTCAGCCGCATGCAAGGCAAACGCCCTACACGCTGTGCTATCGCTCCAGCCCTATGCACAGTGATATTTTTAAGATCTCAATGCAGGCTGGGCGTGTAGCTCAGTGGTAGAGCACATAACTCATGCATATCAAGTCTTGAATTCTATCCCCAGCACCAGCAAGCAGGGGGAAAGGAAAAAGTTTTTACTTTTTATTGGAGGGGCACACTGAACAGTGCTGGGGGACCGTGGAGGTCTAGATACTGAACATCATTCCTGCATGCAAAATGTGCACTCCAGCCCTTTGAGTCATTTCCCTGACCAGGAAAAAAAAAAGTTAAATATCAATGCATTTCCTTTCTTTTGTCTTCTAATCTTCTATCCTTCCTTCTTTTTTTCTCTTTATTCTGTTTGCTTGTCGTATATACGCCAACATTCATTTGCAAAATCCCTCCCCTGACATAAAATTCATAGCAACTTGGTATCTGCCACTTTTATTTTGGGGTTGTGGGGGTTACACTCGAAGGTGCTCAGGGGATACTCCAGGCTCTGTGCTCTGGATAACTCCTGTGGTGCTCTGCGGACCACGCGGTGCCAGGGATTAAATCCAGGTCTCCTGCATGCCTGGCATGTGTTCAACCTCTTTGGATATTGGCCGCTTCATTCAATCCCTGTCTGGAAAGTTCATCCCTTGCCATAGGAAAGCCCCTCCTCGACACCCAAAGCCTCCCCAAAGCTTCATGATCTGTTGTTTTTCATCCGCTGCTCCTACATCTGAATCTAATAATCTGGGCCTCCGCTATTTCGCAAGAGTTGGAACCTGCGGTGCTAGGGTCCCGCCTGGACACAAGCCCCGCCCCTTGCAGGGCCCCGCCCAATTCCTAGCTTCCTTGCCTCATTGGCTCTTCTGAGGACGAGGCCCGCCCCTGGACCCCACCCCTCGCATGGCCCCACCCCTCAAGCAGAGCCACCTTGTACGCTTCAGTCCGGGGCCCCGCCCACGCCTCCCGCTGGCTGCCTTGGCCCCGCCCCGCGGCCATGGCCCCGCCCACCAGCCCCGCCCCTCAGGGCTCCACCCTCGGCGGCCCGGGCTAGGGTGGCGGCTGGCCCAGTCGGGCCCCCGCTGCCCTCTGCCCTGGGCGCTGGGTCGGAGTGGGCCCGGCTCGCAGGGGCCCGGCTGGTGCGGCGAAGATGGCGTCCAGCAGGCGCACCCCGCGCACGGGACTGCTGGAACTGCGCTGCGGGACGGGCTCGGGGGCCGGCGCCGAGCGCTGGCAGCGGGTGCTGCTCAGCCTGGCGGAGGACGCGCTGACCGTGAGCCCCGCCGACGGCGAGCCGGCCGGCCCGCGGGAGCCAGAGCCCGCGCAGCTCAACGGCGCCGCCGAGCCGGGCGCGGCGCCCCCGCAGCTGCCCGAGGCGCTGCTGCTCCAGCGGCGCCGCGTGACCGTGCGCAAGGCCGACGCGGGCGGTCTGGGTATTAGCATCAAAGGTGGGCGCTGGGGGCACCGAGGGCACCGGGTCGTGGTGTGTGCGGTGCGCCGAGGGCGGCTGGGGAGCGATGGCAGGCAACCGAGGACGTGGACTTGGAGAGTACTTGCGTCCCGGGGTCGTAAGGGAGAGGGAGGGGACCGGGCGAGCCGAGGCCCCCCGCAGCCCGGGCAGATCGAGGTCTTGGTAGGAAGCGAAGGCTCAGGTGTGCAAGGGGTTCGGGCGCACCGGTGGGTGTTAAAGTTTCGCCTGGAGGGAAGAGATGGCCGGGGGGGCTGCAGGAAACCAAGGGCAGGAGGGGCCTCGGAGAACGAAGGATGCAGAGAGGAGATTCAGACCGGGAACTTGACTTGGGCAGGGAGGGGAAGTCCCTGGTACTACCCAGGTGTGTGTGGGGGAAAGGCCTGGCTCAGGGGCTCTGGGCAGATACGAGCATCCAGGAATTGTGTAGCAGGCAGAGAGCCCAGACAGTTGGGTCTGAGGTTCCTCATCTGACCATCTCTACCTTGTATGGCATTCAGAGACTCGGACATAATACTGGAGGCTTGCTTTTCTTTCTGTTTTGGGGGGCCACACCCGCCTGTTGCTGGGGGCAGGATGGAACCAGGCTGGGCATGCGCTCCAGCCTTTTGAGCCATTTATCCTGACTCCCTGACAGCTGTCTTGAGACTGCAGCCAGCCTGTGTGAACTTGGATAAGTCACTTCCCCCTTCTGAACCTCAGTTTTCTCAACTATAGAATGAGGAGGCTAATGAGAGCTTTTTCTGTGAAAACACAGGGAGAACGTGTTTCTCAACCAGCGGGCCATGTCACCCGGATAGCACCTATGTGCTCCTAGGATAGTTCAAAGTGGCCACAGGTGAAAATTGAGTAAAATGGGGCTCACAGCAGGAGATTTGGGGCCAACCGGTAGGACAGGGTGGTCACAGAAAGGAAACAAGTCAGGAGGGGGCTGTGATTGGAACCAATCTAATGGACTCACCTTACAGTACCCAGTAGGTACCTGGTTAATTATTGCTGTCAGATGGGAAGGAAACTGAGGCCAGGAAAGACTCCCCAGACAGCTGACCTTAGTGGCTAAAATCCCTGCCCACTGAGCTGCGGGTTGTGCCCTCTGCAACCCAGCCCCCCCAGAGCAGAGCTGTCTGCCCTGTCAAGGGCTGTCAGTCTTGGATGTGTACTATTCTCTCCCCTGTCACTGGTGCCTCTAGTCCTTTGGTCCTGGATGAGGGAGTAGGGATGTCATTGGCTCAGTACCACTTTGTGCTGAATCTACTTCATCCTGGCAACAGGTGGAGGAAGGTAGGTACTATAACCCCCATTTTGCAGGTGAAGAAATTAAGACTCAGATGATTTCCCCAGTAGTGATGGCAGACTGGATTAGAAATTCTAGAGCAGGTCACTAGACAGTGCCCAGGGGAGGACCTGGTTCTTCCCTATGGTGAGGCAACTGACTAGGCAACCAATCAAATGGGTCTAAAAGCAAGAACTAGGGGATGGAGAGACAGAGAGAGCTCAAAGGACTGGAATGCATGCGTGCAGGAACCCCAGGTTTGATCTCTGGCACCACATGGTACCTTGAGCATTGCTGGGAATGATCCCTAGCACTGCTGGGTATGACCCCAAAACCTAAATAAATAAGATGGAAAATGGGGAAGCCAGTGAGTGAGTATGTACATATATATGTGTATGTATATAATATAAAATATATTGGGTTTTTGGTCCACATCCAGTGATGCTCAGAGCTTACTGCTGGCTCTGTGCTCAGGGATCACTCCTGGAGGTCTTGGGGGACTAATTGGGTGCCAGGAATTAACCCGAGTTGGCTGTATGCAAGGTGAATGCCCTACCTGCCCTACTATCACTCTGTCCCAACCCATATTTTTTTTTGAGGTGGGGGTGATCCCCACAGTACTTGCGCATATAGGGCATGCCAGGGTTCCCCTATAAGCAAGCAGATGTCCCTGACCTCTGTGCTATCTTCCTGGCCCTCCACATTCTGGCAGGGGCAACAGATTAATCCAGAAGTTGTATGCTCAAGGTGTCAGGGAGGAAAAGAACTTTGAGATCAGACAGAGTTCATTTTGTAAATGGACAAACTTGGAGTGGAGCAGAAACTTTCTGAGGCCACATAAGTTACCATCCCAGGTGGGCTGAGATAACTTTCAGGAAGCATCAGGGGGGAGTATTGGCTTCACTGTATTCTTGAATGGAGGTGGATACTGGATGCCTGTTGCCTTGACCTTACCTCTAGGGTCCAGTCCAGTCCGGCCTCAGGAAGCTTGAAATGATCACAGCTCAGACTGAACTGCAGTTCCTAGTTTCAGATGGAGAAGGGCAGATATAAATAGAAATCCTTTCCTTTCCTGGGCCTCAGGCTAAGTACGGTGCACTGAGCAAACTGTCGCTCCTTCATGGGCCCTAGGGCTGGTGTTGGTGTGACCCCCTCTTTCTCTCCCCATCAGTTCCCATCATGAACACACTGGGGATGGACTGGCAGTGTGAGACTTGAGGGCCTGGTTTGCATGTATAAGCTTAAGAGTGTTGGTTTTGGGGTCTGAGCAGTAGTGAAGAGGGTAGGACACTTGCCTTGCATGTACCTGACCAGTTTCAATCCTTGGTACCTCTATGTTCCCTGAGCCCCACCAGGAATGATCCCTGAGTGCAGAGATAGGAGTAAGTCCTTAGTGTCATTGGGTGTGGCCCATAAACAAAACAAAATCAAAAAACCCCCCAAAATGTATTGATTCTGGGTGCCAAGGTTTGTGACTCATGTGGTAGAGCATATGCCTTGCATGTGTGAGGCCCTGGTGCCAATTTTCTTTTTCTTTTAGTTTTTGGGCCACACCTGGCAATGCTCAGAGATTACTCCTGGCTCTGAACTCAGGAATTTCTCCTAGTGGTGCTCAGGTGACCATATGGGATGCTGGGGATCATCTGGGTTGGCCATGTGCAAGGCAAGTGCCCTACCTGCTATACTATATTTCTCTGGCACATCTTCTACATTCTTTTTGCCCTTCTGTTCTCCTTTCCTGAAATGGGAATTGGCACTGAAAAAGATCTTAAAAAAGAAATTTTTGAGGGGCTAATTTGTTTTGTTTTTGGGTCACAGCCAGCTGTACTCAGGGCTTACTCGTGCTCTGTGCTCAGGGGACCCTGTGAGCTGGGGATTGAACCCAGGTTGGCCAAGTGCAAGACAAACGCCCTACTCACTGTACTATTGTTTCAGCCCAAGGGTTGTTTTTTGGGTCACATTTGTGGTGCTGGAGTTTGCTTCCAGCTTGTTGCTCAGGGGCTGCTCCTGGAGATGTTTTAGGGGACTCTATACCTCCAGGGATTGAACCCAGGGCTTCAGAGTGCGACATGTGGCACTAACCCTCTGAACTATCCTGGCTCCCTAAAAATAATTTTGGAGTCAGGGATGTGGCTCACCAGTAAAGCACATGCCTTGCACACATGAGACCTGGGTTCAACTCCTGACACCACACAATAAATAATCCCAAACACTGGTGCATTTGCCTCAGTTTCTCCCTTTCTCTGTGCTGTATAGGAGGCCGGGAGAATAAGATGCCCATTCTCATCTCCAAGATCTTCAAGGGCCTGGCAGCTGACCAGACAGAGGCCCTCTTTGTGGGCGATGCCATCCTCTCTGTGAATGGGGAAGACCTCTCCTCTGCCACCCATGACGAGGCGGTACAGGTGCTGAAGAAGACGGGCAAAGAAGTGGTGTTGGAGGGTAAGCCCTGGGAGCCCCATGACTGCTCACTGCTCTCTGGCCCCTGCTGGGTCTCCAACAGTGGAGATTGCGAGGTAGAAGGGTTGAACATGATAGTGATAGAGAAGAGGATATTCCTAGACCCTGTATGGTCTCCCAAGTTTCCCTGGGCGGAGCTCCTCCTTTAAAAGAAAAGGAATTTGGGCACCACCTTGAGACAGTATGGGGTGAGGCTCTGGATGAATCAGACAGACATGGTGTTTATTTCTTCTCTTCCATGCTTGAGTTCTGTGGTCTGTGGCCTTGGACAAGTCACTTTATTTGCATGACATTTCTTGTCCTCCTTCGTAAAATGGGGAGGTAACTTCTGCCTGCTGGGTGGTTAGGTACAGGACGAAAGGTACAGAGAGAATACTGTGGGCAGGACACATGCCTTGTGCACAGCTGACCTTTATGGTCAGCACCCCTGTAGTCCCCTCCAAGAACCAGTAGGAGTTATCCCTGAGTGCAAAGCCAGGAGTTAATCCCTGATAGCACAGCGGTAGGGCGTTCGCCTTACAAGCGGCCAACATGGCCGACCCGAGTTCGATTCCTCCGCCCCTCTAGGAGAGCCCGGCAAGCTACCGAGAGTATTCGATATGCCAAACACAGTAACAACAAAGTCTCCAATGGAGACGTTACTGGGCCCGCTCGAGCAAATCGACGATCAACGGGAGGGCCTCCCAAAACAAAACAATATGTGGTCCCAAAACAAAACATACACACACACATACACACACACACACACACACACACGCACTCACACACACTCACACATACTCACAAAGGTTCATGACTGACTGGGCCACCCACTGAGTGACTAAGCTGGGTTGAGGGGTATGAAGGGACAGGGATGGGGGCAATGGTGGTAAGATTTATTTCTACTGGAGCCGGAGAGATAGCCCAGTGGCTAAGGCACTTTGCCTTACATGCGCTGATCTGGATTCCATCCTGGGTTCCATCACTGGCATCCCATGTAGTCCCCTGAGGCCACCATAGTGATTCCTGAATGCAGAGTCCTTGAGCATTTTCAGGTGTGGCCCCTAAACAAAAAAAAATACTAACAAAAAATATTCATTCCTGGGCCAAAGAGAGAGCATAGGCACTAAGGTAGGCAGCTGATCCCAGTTCAATCCTTGGCACTGCGTGTTGTCCCCTGGGTACCTCCAGGGGTCACTACTGAGCACAGAGCCAGGAATAACCCCTGAGCACTGCTAGGTGTGACTCCCCCATCCTACTACAAATCCCCCAAAACAAGATTTGTTTCTGAGGAAATAGAGAGCCCTTGGGTTAGATCTGTCTAGTGCTCTTCCTCCTCTGGCAAAGGACGGGCTTGTATGTGGCAGGCGGCCAAGTTCCTCAGCAAGGATCAGAGAGTTTTACGGAGGGAGAGGGGTTGGGGGGTGGTCTCGGTGGATCTGTCTGTCCTCTCTTCATGGTACTGTTTTGGCTGAGTCCTTGACTTCCACTGGAGATCAGTTCTGGCTTGTTAGATGCCTCTCGCTGTGGTGGTCCCATCTCTGCTCTTGCCTTCTCTCTAAAGGTGTTTTTGCCTTGCTCAGCCTTTTTCTCAAACTCTGCTCTCTCTGTTCCAGAAGTTCTGGGGGCCTGAGGAATGTGTCTTGGCTCAGGGCCCAGAGCCGGCACAGGGAGGTGGCGGGGGTTGGTGGAGAATGCCGTGACCATCAAGTCTGCTGAGCGGCCCGGGCTGAACTCCTTAGAGTGGCCTTTGTTTCCCACAGAAGGGCACAGACTCTGAGTCTCGGATCATCTTTGGCTTTCTATGGCCCCAGGCTCACTTCTTTCAGCTTTGTTTCATTTTATTTTGGCATTTTAAGTGTATTGTATTTTTTAAAATTTTTTATTAGTGAAATACCATGAGGTACAGTTGTAGACTTAAAATTTTTTTGTGCTTGGGTTTCAGTTGTACAATGATCGAGTACCCATCCCTCCACCAGTGCCCATTCTCCACCACCACTAATCACAGTATCCCTCCCACCCCTTATCCCCCCAATGTGTATTGTATTTCTTTTTTCTTTTTGGGTCACACCCAGCCAATGCTCAGGGGTTACTCTTGGCTCTGCACTCAGGAACCACTCCTGGCGGTGCTTGGGGGACCATATGGGATGCTGGGAATCAAACCCGGGTCGGCCATGTGCAAGGCAAACACCTTACCCACTGTGCTATTGCTCCAGCCCCAATTGTATTTTTTTAAAAGTTGTTCACAATGATTTATTACATTCAGTATTTCAACACCAATCCCACCACCATTACACCTTCCCACCACCATTATTTTGAATTTTCCATCACCATCCAAGCCTGCCCCCAAAGCAGATCCTAAATAATTTATTTTTTGTTGCTTGTTATGAATAATCCATTAAAAATGATCCTTAAGGGGCTGGAGCGATAGCACAGCGGGTAGGGCGTTTGCCTTGCACGCAGCCAACATGGCCGACACAGGTTCGATTCCCAGCATCCCATATGGTCCCCCGAGCACCTCCAGGAGCAATTCCTGAGTGCATGAGCCAGGAGTAACTCCTGAGAATCGCCGGGTGTGACCCAAAAAGCAAAAAAAAATCCATAAAAGTTTCCTTATACTGGGGCTGGAGAGATAGCACAGCGGGCAGGGCGTTTGCCTTGCACTGGCTGACCCAGATTCGATTCCCAGCATCCCATATGGTCTCCTGAGCACTTCCAGGAGTAACTCCTGAGTGCAGAGCCAGGAGTAACCCCTGTGCATCACCAGGTGTGACCCAAAAAGCAAATAATAATAATAATAATAATAATAATAAATAAAATAAAATAAAACATAAAGCATCCTTGAAAAAAAAAGTTTCCTTATAGTTCCTTATAGGAATGTGTGTGAAGCTTGTTGTATCTTACCCCAGAGCCATGAAGCCTCTGTATAAGAGATTACTAACATGATTTTTTTTTTTTTTAGCAAGGGCTGCATTCAGTGGTTCTCAGGAGCTATTTGGGGGTTGCATCGTGGTGGTATTTGGCAGGCCATGTGGTGTTGGGAATTGCTCCCACTTGTAAAATATATGCTCTAACCCTTTGAAGTATTTCAGTTCCCTGGCCCGTTTGTCCTTTTCTTGGTGGGGGGCAGTGAGGAGAGGCGGAGAGGTGCCCACCCAGCTGTAGTTTACTCCCATCTCTGAGCTCATGAATCACTCCTGGCAATGTTTGAGGGATCATATGCGGTGCTGGGGATCAAACCCAGGTTGGCTGTATGCAAGGCAAGTATGTGAACCCCCATACTATCTCTCTGACTACCCTAGCTGCATATCTTTTTAAATGCCATGGATGCACTTAAAATATGTATGTGTATATATATATACATATATATATATATATATATATATATACTTAGAAGGTGATTTCATTTTGGTCTTTAAAAGGTTAAATATAGCAATCACATTTTTCTTATTATTATTACTTTTTGCTTTTTGGCTCATACTCAGCAGTACTCGGGCTATTCTTGGCTCTATGCTCAGGCCCATTGCTGGTTTTCAAGGGGAACAAGACATAGTTCCAGGGATCAAGCTGGGGAAAGCTGCATGCAAAGCAAGCTCCTTAATCCCCGTATTATCTCTCTGATCCAGAATTGAATGTTTTGTTTTGCTTTGGCCACATCTGGTGACTCAGGGAATACTCCCAGCTCTGTGCTCAAAAGTAGCTTCTGGAGGTGCTCAGGGGACCATGTGGTAGCAGGGATTGAGCCAGGAATCATATTTTTAACCTCAAAGTTAAATAATAAGATTACTTTTTTTTCTTTTTGGTTTAGAGGCCACACTGGTAATGCTCAGGGGTTACTCCTGGCAGTGCTCAGAGGACCATAAGGGAGGCCGGAGATCGAATCTGGATCAGCCGCTTGCAAGGCAAATGCTCTACCTGCTGTACTATCACTCCTGGCCCTAAGATCACCTTTAAGTGTTAAGGATATGACACTTTCCCCCTGGATGCCTCAGTACTTTATATCTATCACCTATAATACAGTTTGAACTTATTGAAATTCATCAAAATGACCTATTTTAGTTGATTTGGAATGAAATTAGTTTCTGCTCTTTGAAAGTTTGTTCTGTGGATGGTAAGATTTCTACTATGGGCTCATTTGTGTTTATTTTATGTCATTTTATTTTATTTGGCTTTTGTGACACACCTGGTTATGCTTAGGGTTTACTCCTGACTCTGTGCTCAGGGATCACTCCTGGTGGAACTTGTGGGATCATATGGAGTTCTGGGGATTGAACCTGGTTTGGCTATGTGCAAGGCAGTCTCCTACTCCTTGTGCTATCACTCTGGTCCCTATGGATGCACTTCTGTCCTACAGTGTAGCTCCCTATATCCCCTCCTAGGTTGAGAAAGTCCCTCTGGGCTCTGGGACTTTGGATTCTTCAGAGAAAGTGGCCTCTCCATGTGATTTGATGCTTGAAGCATTGCTTGGTTTATGGGCTAATACCTGTGCCTCCCATTGAACTCATTCTCTCCTCTCTTTGAGAAGCCAAGAAACACAGATATCTGGCACAGCATTGGGCCAAAGCACCACGGAACTCAGGGTGTCCCCTGGATGAGTTCAACCTGTGGGAACAAGATAAAACACAAACACTGTCTCTCTCCCCATTGTTTGAAATCCTATGTGGTCTTCTACAAGACGTTTGCCTTTTCTAGACCTCAGCTTCTCTGTTGACTGGGTTTAGACTGGATCAGAGGTGACTAAAAGATCGTGACTGTTAGTTTCCCTGGTGGCTCCTGGCAGTGACAGTTAATGTGGTTTTTTTTTTTTTTTATACCATACATGGTGGTGCTCAGGACTTGCTCTGTTTACTCCTGGAGTGCTTGGTGACCATACGGGATGCCAGGAATTGAATCTGGGTCAGCCACATGCAAGGCAAGCACCCTACCCATTGTACTATTCCTCCAGCCTGACAAAGTCTTGTTTTATTTAGTGATCAATGGCTCTGACTCTTATACAGATAAGA